GAAAGAAACTGGAGAAACTAAGAAATCTGGGAAGCTTCCTAGGATTGGACTTGCAATGACATGCAGTATATGCCATGTCAGAGGCCATAACAAGAGAGAATGTCCTCAAAGAGAAGGTGTTGAATCATCAACAAGAGAAAGTGCACCATCACCTACTGCATCAGTAAGGGCAGAACCAATAGGTTCAGGCAGGGGAAGAGGCAAACCAAAGGTAATTTTTGAACTTGTTTTACTTTTTTCTTAATTTATGACTTACTTTTTCTCTTATATGTATAGAAAACTCCATCAGCACCATCAGAAGGTGAGCCTCCACTAAAAAAGGGAAGAGGAAGACAAAAAAAAAATATTATCAGTAGCACCTAGTGCACCTCCCCTACCTACTGCACCTACTGATTTTCCTGCATCCTCTTCTGCTCCTCCTACTTATCATGCATCATCTTCAATAGCTGGTACTACTAAAAGAGGAAGAGGTAGGGGCAGGGGAAACACATCTCTAGAGAAAAGACCAAGAGTCATGGGAATGAGTGTGTTCCAAGATGCAAATGGCTTCAAAGTCATGAATGTGAGTCTGTGATATATGTTATAAGCTTAAATATTTAATTATAATCCTAATTTTGTTTAATTAAACAGCTTAAATACTGATATAATCCTAATTTTACTTTAGCCTGACATGACAAGTAGTAAGATCTACTTTACTGGACAAGCAAAAGTGACAAGATCATTTGATGTAACTGGTGACATTGGTTATACACCAAGGAATACTACTAAGCTGAAATGGAATGGTAAAGCAGCAATCTCAACAAGCAAGCTTCATGAGCTTAGACAGAAGAAAAGAAAAAAGACAATGGGAAGTAGTTCAAGTCAAAATGACACTTCTTCACAGTCAAAGATGCCATGGAAATTGTAGTGATGTTGATGTATTTAAGCACTTTTAAGTTAGTCCATACATGTTGCATTAATGGCCTGCTATTTTGGATTTTGTTTGTTGGTAAATTTTGCCTTACGTGAGGGCTTTTGAATATGACATTATTTAGGTAAATTTTGCCTTATGTGAGGCCTTGTAAATATGACTTTATTTTGGTAAATTCTGCCTTGTGTAAGGCCTTATAAATGAATGGTGATGTTGTGTTTTAAAATGGTTGTTGTGTTGTCTATCGAATTGTATTGGTTATTCAGGTGTGCTTACATATGTTGTGTTGGTTATATGTTTTACAAATGGTGTTGTGTTGTCTATGTTGAAGTATGAATGGATGACTAGGTTGTTGGTTGTTGATGAAGTGTTGCATATTAATACAAGCTTCAATTGACATCATAGATACAAAATGGCACACATACATTGACAATTTTAATTAAACATAACAACAATACAAATCAAAGAGAAATCCAAATATGCAGCACTTGAACTACTGGTTGCTGATGACATAGCAACAACACAAATCAAAATACACAAAAGTATCTTCCTATTGAACCTACACCATTTCAACCTTCTATTGAGTCTCTTCTCCAATAACAAATTAGAGTTCCTCAAGTTGTCAATATGAACCTGTCTAATACATAATTCTTGCTCCAACTCATTGATTTTGTTCACTAATCTTGGAAGGATAAAACTTGATCTTGGATCCACTTCTTCTTTGTCCCTCCATCGAAAAAATTTGCAATTTTTAGACTGAAAATGATCCAAAATAGTACATTAATATCGTTCAAAATAAAGTGTAGCAAGATTACAAGAAAAAACACATACACCATAGCATGGGCAAGATCAAATTCTTCTTCCCGGATTTAATTTCGACCAAGAAGTTTGCAAATTCAGCAAAATTCCGTGTTTGCATCTCACTACAGCATTGATCATTGGGTCTGATTTATCCATACAAAGCTTATTCAAGTTTTCATTTGCCATTTTTGATGAATTTCGAGAAAAATCAAAATTCAAATTAGAGACCTAAATAAGAAATTAGAGCAGATTACAAACCCTAAATTAAAGATTTGAAGTAGAAATGAACATTAACAACTAAACACTACTTAATTTTGAGAGGAAATTGTGATTTTTTTATAAAAGGAGCAAGGGTTAATGGTAGGGAAGAAGAAATAATGGTTTATTTAAAGGTGGGGAAGATGACCGTTGGAGAAGGAGGAATTTTTCGTCAAAATTAACCTTCTAACACGCCTAGAGGAGGTGAGAACACCTCCCATAACAGGTCAGCACTTAGGTGTGTAGAAAATAGAGAAATATAAAGTTCATGTGGGTAATAGAACACCCGTAAAGTTGGAGTGTGTAGTTGAAATTTCGGGTATAGGTTGGAGGGGTTTTAGACCATTTTCTCTTTTATATATTCAACTAACTTACAACAGTGATATGTGAGATTAAGAGAGGGTGGTGTGTATACAACCTTATCTTGTGAAGGCATGGAGATTGTTTTTGATAGACCCTCCTCAAGTAAAGCATATACCTAACAAACTTAAAATCAAAATATATTGACTAAATTCTGCTATAAAATCTGGTATGTCATAAAGAAACATTAAAACAAGGTCCCCCACGGGTATCATCAACACATATAGTCTAGTTGTATCAGTGAAAATTTTCTATGTAATATAGTGTTAGTTCAATTCTCATTTCCTGATCCAGATGTAATATAAATATTTTTTAAGAGATAATAGGACACCATGAGTTGGGGAAAAATGATTGTTAATTTGTTTGTCTATGAAATAAAACCAGTAACTTCATTTGTACTACTAAATAAAAGCTGTCATCCAAATTGACAAATTATCAACTTGAAGCCCAGTCCAACAAAAATTGAAAGCCCAATATTGACAAAATATCATTTGGAGCCCAGTCCACAAAAGTTGAAAGCCCAATGTTAAACATAGCCCATAGGATAGAAACAGGTTCTTTGGATCATCTTTGAATGAATCTGATTAATTGTGTAGGGGAATCCTACATACTTTTTACAAATATTTCTTGTATACTGACATATGATATACAATTTTAATACAAAATAGTGTATATCTTTTGTATATTTGGCTATCAAATATAATTACTTTTAGTCGACCGACCAAATATATAACTTTTAAAATGCCCAGCCAATTTATGCTAATGGGGGAGGGGATAATCAGATTATCATACACAATATGTGATTATTATCTTATAGTTGAAATTATTTTCTTGCTTTTTCTGCTCACGTATTATTTTAAGAGTTCTAAATTTCAAGTTCTACAAAAAACAATATTACAAATTTTGTCAGTGTGCATCAAATATGATACAATTATTGTCATAATAACACTTTTAATGTATCAAACATTTGAAATAATAATCACCAAGACATATCATTTGAAAAAGCTTTCTTTTGGTTGGTTTTTCATTTGTTGTCCAAATACTTGTATAGGGGCACGACTTGCCAATTTAAAATCGTACTGAAAATTCCATTTTAAAGAAACGTCCTTTCCAAAATCGACTCAATTTCAAAGCTTGAACTTAAAGGCCTCTAAATTTCATCTCATTCACTGGAAATTATTAAGACTTTGAGACATTTCATAATAGCAAAAAAAAATTAACAAGTGCTAATACTTGTTCTCTTTTCAATTTAGAAACAAAAAATAAATCCGTTTGAAATAAACTCTGAAATTTCTTTGATTTAATAAACCTTCTAGATACTTAAAAGATCATTTTAGTTTGATGTGATTTGAGTCAACTCATTTTGTTTAAATATTGATATCCCAATCCTAATTTTATGTGACACTATTTAACTAGACATAGAATTTTATAAGAATTTTTTTAAAAAAAAAAAAATTATGAATCAAAACAGACTTTAGACATTAGTATACATAATCATTTCATTAATAATAAAATATAGTATTTTTTAATATAGAATGATAGTTTCTTTATGAGTTGGACCACAAAACAAAAGAGTACTAAATTCTAATTGATTAAGTAAGACATGTGTTCTATTCAAAATTTCTTACTTTAAATTATTTTTTTATCGTTCACGACTTTACTATGTGAAATGTATTAAGTACTACTATCTTTTTCTATAACACTTTTTTTTTTGGATAGATTAAAAAGAAAGGGTGCCACATAAATGGCACAATGGAGTATATGTTTTTTTTTCTTACCAAAAATAAATAAATTAAACTAATATGATACTTTATGTTTTTTATAAGATTTACTCATATATAAGTAAGAATTTCAAAAAGTATTGATATGAGAAAAAATATAATTAAGATTAATTTTTATATCATATAAATTCTAATTAAAATATTATTTAATTTAAAAAATTAATGAAGTTACCACTATCTAAATAGGGTTGCGAAAAAATTGAAAAGATCAATAAGTCGAATTGAAAAGAGTCTTATTGATTTATTGCTATTGGGTCATAGGATTAACAATTTTTTATTGGTTTTATAAAAAAAGATTATTGGGTTATCGATTTGCTTTTGATTTTTTAATATCGGGTTATTGGGTAAACCGATAATTTATTAAAAATGTAGTAATTTACTACTTTACCAATACATAAATATTAAATATTAATCTTAATACCTTAGTAGATACTGTTATGATTCTTTAGCCTTCCATTCACACTTTACCATGACTTTGAATTATCAACTTCACATTATATAAAACGTCAAAAACTTAAGGTAAGAATCATATTCTTCTTAATTTTTCTTTGTGTTACACTTGTATAGTTCTTTTCATGTTAGTTATTAATTCTTTCTATTTTATGAGCATTTGTAATGTTACAATTATTGTCTTGTCGCGTCAAATTGTTAGAGAAGTCATATATTTGTTTTATAAGCATTTTTCATGTTGATTAAATTGAAAACTGAATCATTAAAGACCAAAATCAGTAAATCAAAAATGGAAAAAAATATCTTATTAATTTGATTATTGATTTAGCATATTTAAAAATTAAAAATTGATAATCAAAGTTAGCGAATGATAATACATAAAATCAAATCAAATTGATCAATACACGTGTATTTGCTATATCTAAATGCCACGAAAATTGAGACGGAGTACGGTGATTTTTCATTTTTGCCCACCGTCGCTCCCTTGAAAAGCGGGTCGAAAGAATCCGAGCAGTCATCTTCTTACTTCCACATCAATCATCATTGACTTCACTTTTCATGCACCTCCCTTTTTTTTCTTCTTCCCAAAAACCAATAAAATCAATATAGCTTTGCATTTAAAACCAAAAAATAACAAAAATAAATGTCAAATTCCTAATTTAAATATTTCACCTTCTCAGTTGAAATTTCAGCTACCTACAGTCTTTTGCTGCTCATTTTTATTTATTTATATTCTGAAAAGAGAATATTGGGTTTCTAATTTAATTTCAACCTTTGAATTTTCTGTATTTTTGGTGGATCTTCTTGTTGGGGTTTCACTGATTCTGATCTATATTCAAAAAAATAAGAAATTGGTTGATTACTTTGATTTCAAATCTCGATTTTTTCTGTATTTTTTGGTGGATTTTCTGGGATTTGATTTGATTTGATTTGAATTTCCATTAATTTTGGGGTGATTATTTTTGGATTTTCTTTGTGGGTTTTGATTACGGTGACAGATAATTCAAGATTTTGATTTGGGGGTCTGTTTCTTGGATTTTTTTGGTGGGGTTTGATTGAATTTTGTTATATAAATTCAAATGTATGAAGAATAGGGTGTCACGTTCATCATCATCACCAGCATCGTTGTTGTTGTCAATGGCTGCGCCAAGGAGTTTGGTAGTTGATACGGGGCGGTTGCTGACAAGGGATGAGGAAATGAACTTAGGTTTGACGCCGGGAGCTGAGGATTCACCGACTGGTAAAAGGTATAAGGAAGGGAAGTTTCCGTTGTCAAGATGGGAGTTTGCGGCAGCTTTAGGTGTATTTGTGGTGTTTACAGTAGGGTTGTTTTCTATATACTTGACAATGCCAGCTGCTGAGTATGGAAAACTCAAGTTGCCTCGTTCCCTTTCCGACCTCCGGATGCTCAAGTAGGCAATTGATTTACTTTTGTGTTTCATTTCCTGCTTTTGATTAGTATAGTTTTTGTGACATTGAACTGTAGCATCAATTTGCTTTTGTTAAGTTTAGCTGTATCGTGGTTGCTTGTGCATTTGTGTGGGGTGTCAAATTTAGAGAGACCTAAGAAGTTTGTGGAGTTATGTTGCTAGTCATTGCTGTGTTTAACCTCCTGTTGCTTGCCACATATCGAGTGATACTTGGGGCTTAACCCTATTAAGTGTTTGATGTGCTTTTGTTGTGTGATTCGTAATCTTGCAGTTGTGTTTTTCTGCTGCGCCAGCCGTATATGTGGTCAATCATGTACCTTTTGTGTGAAAACTATTTGGCTGAAGTATAAAACAAAGCTTTGATTACTTTTAGTTTATGGTTGCAACTATTATATATATACTTTTTTGAGAACACTCAGCTTGTGCAGTGAGTGGTTGGGTGAGCCCCATATAGACTGTTTGCACTCCAAATTTCTGCATTTGGGGAATTTTCTGATACAATTAGTTTTGAGCTGCATGTAGGAGAAATTATTTGTGTATTTCCTTTTTAAAGCAGCTTTCCTCCTAAATGAATCGTTGTGTGTGTGCATTAGTTAGGGGACGGAGGGGTGTGACTTTTTCATCAATGTACTGTTGCCAGCTTGGTTTCAGAAGTTGGGGCCTCAACTTTGATTGTGGAAAAAGGAAACTATACAAGTTAAACCTTTAAATTCTTTTTTCTGGTAAAAAAAAAAAAAAAAACTTCTCATCTTTTCCAGTCTAGATTTCTCTTCTATTTGAGTGTTTATCTGTGTGCCAGAAGAAATTTAGGTGTGATAATTGCAGGCTGATTCTCGTTTAGTACGTTTTCCTACTATATCCTTTTAGTTTAATCTCCTTAAGACTTACGGTTTCCTTAGATCAATTAATGAGTAGGTGCTCAGATGGAACACAGAGCATGGAAAGACTTAGGTGCTTGGTATCCCTTTTCATCTAATTCCAAATACATGAAGTAGCTGGAAGACGGTAGGTGGAGCAATAGTGTGTGGGAAGCTCTGTCAAATTGATAAATGGGTTATATCACTTGGTACCAATTTCAAGATGTTCAAGCACAAAAGTACTATTAGCAGTAGAATGCCTATCTCACCAAAGTAATACATATGGAACCATTTGATTGAGCCTATACTGCGTGATCTGTGAGTTAAGAACATAATAAGCTGATACACATTATGATGAGACAAAAAGTACAATTTCTTTATAATGGGTTTAGGTATATTTTTATTATGTATGACCCAGGAGTGCGGCCTACCAGTCAATGAAGTGAGTGAAAACCATGGGAGTCTTGGTTCAAATTCCAACAGTGAAGGTGATTTCTTCTCATCTTAAGCCTTGGTCGGTAGACTTATCCAGTGGAATAGTAGAGATGTGTGGAATCTAGCCTGGATACCGCCGTTATAAAGAAAAAGTGTATTTCTATTGTGTACCGGTTGTTGAGATAAATTTTGCTAGATACACAATACAATGCTCCAATGTCTAGTAAAAGCATCAGGATCCTATAACATTTCTGTATAATAACAAACCATTTTGAGTTAACAGGAAGAGTCAACAGCATATTTTCTGTAAAATGGAGTGAAAAGCCTTACAAAAGTCTTGTGTTCTCTGCTCTTTCACCAAAAAATTGTGTTCTTTGAATGTGAAAATCTGATGCAATCAACAACATACTCAGTGTAGTCCCACAACAACATATCTCTTAAAACGCGATTAAAACTTGAAAATCAGGAACGATGTGGAATTTGTTAAGTATGAGGCACGAGTGGGTTGATCATGAATTCATGACCAATTGGTCAATGGTGACAATTGCAATTTGAGGAGGAGAAAGTGAGGTGAGGGGAGGAAATTCTATTTTTCTGTTGATGACATTGACAGTACCACCTCATTAATTAGTAATGCTTTCTGCTGTTGTTGGTTTACATAAATAAAATAAAAGAGGTATAGTTTTCCTTTTGAAGAATTGGGTTTGTCAGAAAATGATTTGGAGGAAGATAAATATCAGGTCACTTTTACACTCAAAATTTCTAAGGAAATGAAAGAGGAAGTCCAATCATGACAAGAAAGAGTTGGTTGCTAGATACTCCTCAAACCTAATGGTGCGAAGATCGAAGAACAAGGTTCACTTTCAATTGTTTAGATTAAAAATCACTAGCAGTCTTCTTACCATTGCTCAGCATCACGAATGTCTGGTTGTAATGTTGCTTCTTAATTAAAATCTTTTCATGCATAGGTTCTGTTACCGAATGTTATTTGTAGATATTTTTTGGTATGATATTTTAATATGGTATTTGACCAATTTTTTCTAGTTATTATTTAGTATGGTACTGTTGTAACTTATTATCTTGGTTGTTCCTTCAGGGATAATATTGGAACATATGCCAAAGTGTATCCTGCGAAATTCATTCTGGGTTACTGCTCAACATACATATTCATGCAGACATTTATGATTCCTGGGACAATATTCATGTCCCTGCTTGCTGGAGCACTTTTTGGTGTTTTTAAAGGGCTTATCTTGGTTGTCTTTAATGCTACAGCTGGTGCATCGTCCTGCTTTTTTCTGTCTAAATTAATTGGCAGGCCTTTAGTTAGCTGGTTGTGGCCTGAAAAATTGAGATTCTTCCAGGCAGAGGTCTGTGATCTTCTGAAACTGTTTACTGATAATGTGCTTCTGATATTCTAATGTCATGCTTCCTTCATTTTCTGGCACATACTGATGTGTAACATGTGGTTTCAGATAGCCAAGCGTCGGGATAAGTTGCTCAACTATATGTTGTTTCTGAGAATAACTCCAACATTGCCAAATCTTTTCATCAACTTGGCATCTCCAATCGTGGATATACCATTCCATATTTTCTTCTCGGCCACATTGGTTGGTCTCATTCCAGCCGCATATATTACAGTCAAGGTAAACTTTCTTCAGCTGGTGGTGGTTTTTCCCGTCATGCTTGTCCGTATTTGATGTTCTTTCAACTGTATTACTCAATTTTGCTCTGAAATGATTGATATAATGCATCTAGAGGAAATGCTTTCTTAAAAAAGTAACTAGCTTCCTTTGTGTGGTGACTCTCTTACAACAACATACCCAGTGAAATCTCACAGGTGGGGTGTGGGGAGGGTAGAGTCAGGAGTGTATGCAGCCCCTACCTCATGGATGTAAAGAGGCTATTTCCCAACTCTCTAACGCCCATCCAAATATTCTTAAAAAAAGTACAAGAAGCTGAAGCCTTATTCTCGTTATATATGGGTAAATCAGTTCCAGGATGTCATGCTTGGCACTAACATAGATGTTGCATTAAATGGTAGAAGTATACCAACACAATAGCATTAAGAGTTGGCCTCTACAGGTGATGTGGAGTCCTATAATGTGATAGTGATGGTGAAGGTTCTCTGTGTGTTACTTCCATAAAAAGACGAAAGCTATACTGGTGCGTACATTAAATGAAAAGATCATCAAGTGCATTTTCTGAAATCGAGTTAAAATCATATGAGCTGTTGACCCACAGCATATCATCTAAAACTGTCCAAGTGAAAATTTGGCAATGCATCTCTCGTCTTGTCTATTAACTAAGATGATACATCTTTTGTTGAGGTTCGCAGTGCCAATGTCACTTGTGAGACCTGAGTGATCACTCCTTTATATTTTTGTAATCTCATATATGATGTTTTATTTTAACGTGTCAGGCCGGCCTAGCTCTTGGTGAGCTGAAGTCTGTGAAAGATCTGTACGATCTCAAGACCTTGTCCGTGCTCTTCCTCATTGGTTTTATCTCGATATTACCTACCATCTTGAAGAGGAAGAAAATATACGAATAAAGCTCCTCCCAGAAGGCCAATTTGGATCCTCTTGGAAAGTAACTTATAGAAGATATAGTTTAATTTTATTTCGGAGCAAATTGGAGAGGCAGAGGCAAGACATAGTGAGACAAATCTATATTTTACATATGGAAATCTGAAATCTACATTTGACTGTCCAATCCATTGGTAGAATAGTGGAAAATGCTGTGTTCTTTACCAACTCCTTATGTTTTACCCTCTGTTAGTCTGTTATCTGACCCGCAGTTACCAGTAGTATTGTTAAAGGTAATGTCAAATGTAGCAGACAGATTTTGATATGAATTCTGATTCAAGATTGATCTTATAGTCATTTCACTGTTCAGTATTTTCTTGTTTGATCTTATGGTCATCCCAATTACCATGTTATAGTTAGCTGCAACTTTGTTTGAAGGTTGTCTTTTTTTTTTCTTTCTGAAAATTAATTCCCTCAAGTCTACGATCACGTGTTAGGTTTAACAATCTCTCAACCCTTTATTTACACATAAATGCTGTGACATGAACAGACATGTTTGGTACTTGAGAAGAAGATAAAGAGGTCATAATAATCACTTGCAATTTAAGAAGATTATGAATGAGAGACATGTTTGGCCTAGTAAGTGCAAAGAATAATTGGCGTTCAATCAAAAAGAGGTTTCTGAAATATTCAAAACTCAAGTACATTGCTCAACCAAATAATACATGCAAAGAAACATAATGGATGGAAATTACAACAAAAGATGAAGTTAAATGCGCCTTCCAAAACTCATTTCTGTCATTGCTTCCTCGGTCTATACAAAACTACATAATCCTGAGAAAACAGTAATTTGGATGTAATCTTGAGCCTAAAAGTCACTTGGCTGCTTCTAGGTCTGCAAGGGTGACTGCTGGTGAATCTTGATAACCAGTAATGCCCATTATTCTTATCCGAGTAATTGGCTGCATGATTAACAGAAACCAAATTAATTTGGGATAAGCAAGGGCAAGATATGATATTCTGCGCAAATATCGTTTTAAGGGGCATGTCACATACATGGCTGCAAGCTCACTAATTTAGACAGTTTTCATGTTTGCATGGTAATTATTTGCAGACATAGGTAAAACTATGATAGACTACGGTGCGTCTTGCTTAACGGGCAAACAGATAGGTTAAAAAAGTTCAATCTACTTTATAGTTATTCAGATATCACTAAAAACAGTTCTTTAATACCTGTCTGTGACCAATGTTCCTTCTGTAATTTTTTTTCTTCTTATACTTGAAGACTATCACCTTCTTATCTTTCAACTGCATGAAAATGTAATAATGAGCCAACAGAGATGTCAAGTAAACAAGATATACTCAGCGGAAACTACAGCAGAGGAAGAATGATGTCTGACCTGCTCTTCAACAACAGCGTGGACTGTTGCATTTGGCACCACTGGTTTTCCAACCCAAGTACTTGTTTTTGTTCCCACTAGTAAAACCTTGTTTAGGATAATCTGCAGAAGCAACAAGTATAGATGCTTCAATAACAATCCCTAGTCGTGGAAATTTTGAAATAAGAGTATTGCCAATATGACAAGAAAACCTTGACATACACATATAACCCTTATATCAAATGTTAGTTTCCGTGGAAAATAACTGGTGAAGACATGTACTAAAGACAATAGAAATATGAGAAGCAAATGTAACTATTGGTTGAAATTGATGCCTTTCGACATCATTGAGAAATTGCTGCATGCAAGCTCTGTTTGATTGGACACCACAATGTTGATATGAGATAGCGAGACAAGGAAAAAAAACTCACATAAGTAAAGCCAACACCATAGAGAAGTTAACCAGATTTTGGGAAATCAATTGTAAATTAAGTAAGACCAAAGGATATGCTCACTTTGTCATTGACATTTGCTCCTTTAAGCCTCTGGGTGTAGATATACCGCCCAGGAAAAACAATATATTGCCGAGATCCAACCTAAGAAAGCGAACGAGCAAAAATGAACAAACAGCTTAATGTATTAATGACACGCCCAATAAAGTTATATTAGGGTAGTGTCACATTCATCTGAAAAAAAGAAAAAAGAACAAAATAAAGCACAAAATTTGACACCTAGAGGACTTGAAAATTGTGAGCAGCAGGAACAATGACCAGATTGAAATAGCAGCTATAAATCTCCTCGCAAGAGTGAGTATTTTCCACACGGAGAAGAAAAATATTCATCAAACAAGTAGTAAACATGAATGTTTTCTCCGGTTAACTACAATAGTTCACATTCAATAAAAGATGAAAGTGTAGAATATGGCAACCTCAAAATCAAATTTCAACAATTACTAGACTTTTGCTTAAACATTCGCATGGACTTGTAGATATGCATTCCCTCTGACAATTGTATAACACCTAAAGTTAGAACTAGATGATAGTTATTAGTTATTTATTAGTTATATAACTTATAATCTGCTATATGAACCCCTTTGCGACTTAACTAGAGGAAACACCTACCCAAAATAGATGGCCCACTTAGAAAACGAAATTACACTAAAACCAAACAGAACATAGATTGAGATTTTTGAAATTGGATGGTGTCTAGAACACGGGTAAGGATATACCAAGTACTAAACCTATGTCACGTCCTCAGAGTAATTATAGTTTTCTGTTAACATCAGCCAACTCCACTGGAGAACACTAAGGATATAAAAAGTTCAGTTCAGCTTATTTAGCACGGACTATTTTAACATTTCCAATAGCCAGCACCACTGCCAAGTCAATATGACACAAACACATAGACACGCATATTGTTCCTTGACACCTTAAAAATAAATGCTAAACCTAAGCATCACAGAAATGGCATTGACATATAAATAACAGAACGAAACAATTCCATTGTAACACTCCATGTTTTCACCACATACACCATAGGAAGAAGAAATGTATCAATAGTACTAGCAAACACAAAATTTGGACGAAGTGAGTGCGGTGTGGTGGAGCATTCTTCATGAAAACAATTTTTTGGAACTTCTGAATCCCTTTGACATAAAGGATGTTTTCGTTCTAGTGGCAAAGGTAATTCGACAAATTGCTTCAATAATAGGTCTGAGTAATTTTGAATTCCCCTTATTAAAATTCCGAGTACTTTTGCGATATCAAAGGTTGAGAACATGACAATCTTGAACCAAAGTTGTGATCTTTATACAAGAAACTAACGTTCCCTCTCGTAAGGGAAGAAATCAATTTCCTATTTCCTTTGAGAAAACAATTCAAGGTAACAGACAACTGAACATTTTCCGCTGAACTTCCAAATTTTCATTTGGGAACAAAAGTTCCTCATAATTTTTCAATAAAAATCCAAATTGCACCCCACATTGAATTCAAAATTCAAAACAAACAGTTATGTATACACAAATTTGAACATGAATGAAAGTGAATCGTCACCATAACAACAGCAAAGATTTCTTCCCGTTTTGGTTCCAAGCTAGTGGCTTCCACAACTGGGGTTGCAACAGGCTCTTCTGGGTCAGCTTCAACTTCAGCTACTGGAGCTTCAGATTCAGAGAATTTGGGTACAAAAGAGGAAAAAGAATTGGGTTTGGAGAAACGGAGATTGAGAGAAGAAAGTGAGTGAGATAGAAAAGCAACATTGGAATTTGCTTTGGGAACAGAAAGGGTGTTAAGAAAAGTTTGGTTCTTGGAAAGTGCTGTTGAGGGGGAAGATGTAGAACACAGGGAAAGGGTTGCCATTGTTGGAGAGTGAGAGGTTTCTTGGGTATTCTGCGTCTCTCTCTCAATTTTATCTGTCAAAGCCTATCCTATCTGCAGTGGTAGCCAAATGACTATTTTACCCCTGAAATCTTTTTAAGTAATTTTTAAAAAAAAATAAAGTTACATATAATACTATTAATAATAACAATATTCGAAATTACGAAATTCTTTAGCATATAAATTATAGGGATAAGGGTTGAAAAATACCTCAACTTTGGTCGGATTTGCTGTTGCGATACTAAACTTTCATAAAGACCTATTACCTTCCTAGACTATTTAATACCGTATTTTTTACCCCTGAACTATTTAATAGTGTATTTTAAAGGTATATATGTGCCCACATGGACACATTACTATTTATAATTTTGCATTATTTTTTATGTCCACATGGACAAATATGTATGTTTAAAATACGGTATTAAATAATCTAGGAAGGCAATAGGTCCTCATGAAAGTTTAGTATCGCAACAACAAATCCGACCAAAGTTGAAATATTTTTCAGACCCTTTATCTTAAATCATAACATTGTCATTTACATTTTACACTTGAAGCCATCATTATCTGATTTTATCTTCAGGTTAATTATGTAAAGCCTCCCATCTCTTTTTGCAATTATATATGCATTCATAGTTCTATCTTCACAACATAGTTGTAGGAGTAAGATTGCATACACAATACTCTTTCTAATTTGAAATTACATTAAGTATGTTATTACACTAGTAGTTGTTTTATACCTCACATTTGACTATATTTACTCGAAATTGATGCTAACTTCACTAATGATTTGAAAATTTAAATTTCTTTTATACTCTAATTAATTTGGGATATAATTATTCAATGATATAGTTTTAGAAAAAAATACTATTAATTCTCTCTTGATTTTAGTATACTAGACAAGTAAAAAGGAACGGTGAGAGTAGAAGCTAAAAGCACGTATTAGCAATACTAAATAGTCTGATTAGTAACTTGTGATTTTGAAAATTTGCAGTAATGATAATAGTAATTTTTTCCTTAAAAATAAATAGTTAAAACTGGTTTCTTAGAAGATAAGTGGTCTCGCAAAGCCAGTCAACGAGCCTAACAACAAGTCAAAACTACGAGAAGAGCGCGAGAAGTTTTTATGAAGGTAGAGATATTTTCAAATTAGACGTCAAGTTGGTGTGCTACATGTTAACAAGGCAAATCACATTGTCTGTAAAACAAAAAGTGATGCCATTTGTTATGGTAAAAATCAAGCCTACAATATTGGAAGGAAAAAAAAAAAAACAGGAAGATCACACAGGGTAAAATTAGATTGACATTTATTTGTGTTTGACATATGACAAAATGATCTTAAAAAGTACTCAATTTCTAATAACAAAAAATTAATATAGACATAAAGAAGGTTTTAACAACACTTCTCAGGTACAAACAACTGTAGTATTTTAGAATTTATGAACTAGAGGAAAAACCCTCAAATTATATAAGATAAAGTAGCAAAGGTAAGAGTAACGTCTGCTTACATCCCACCCTCTCCAAATCCCGCTCGTGGAAAGATACTGGGCATGCTGTTGTTGAGAGTAGCAACAACTGTAATTTTGCTACTATAGCACTAAACCTATCTACCATGACAAAATAATAGAGCACCAATCTATGCTGGTAATAGTCCAACATTGTCTTGGCAAATACAGCTCTACTTGACCCCTCTCGTCCGGTTGAAAGCCTCCTTGACCTCCTCCGGTTATCGGTTGGTCCAACGTGTTCTATCAGCTTGGTCTGGTAAACAATCATGCTAGAATTAGAGAGTTAGATACCAAACAATCTAAATATAATGTTGATATGATACATTTTCTAATAGTATTCATTAATTGATTATGTTTCAGTCTGTAATTTCGAATGAGATATATCTTTCTTTTTTGAAATTTATCGACTAGTTGAATTGATATTTTATAGAAAAGTTGTTGGATTAAAATATAAAATATAGAAGTGGAAACCTTCTATTGTTTTTTCTCACTGTCACTTGCTCCAAGTGCATCTGCCAAGTTAAAATTCAAATTGCCTCTCATTGTTCTAGCTGCAAATCCTGTATTTCCCTTCTTCATCATTGTTGCAAATTCGCCATAATCTATACGTCCATCCTGCCAAACAGAAAAATATATTAGCTTGACTTAACTCAGAAATGTGACGCCCATGACAGAGGGCTGGTTGATGAGGACGGGTCAAAGAGAATGACTGACAGATTTTTAGGCTGACAAGCTCCTGAAGAAGGGGTGCATATGAGTACATGACACTTTAGCGACTCACACGTTGGAGTGGGAGAGGAAAATGAAGGGCTTTATGAGGCATAACACAAGTTCACATGATATACACATTTTTGGACTCAATGATGGTGAGGTGCAAAGGACAAACTTGTGAGATCTTTTGGGCCAAGGCCACCACAACATACATGCATTTGTATAAGCACGAAAACTGCTTATTGTATTGCATAATACCTTTCAGTCTTGTTTTGTGAGGTGTGTGACCTATGTTAGATACCACAACTTCTAGTGTTCCGAATAACGAGTAGGTTATTTTTGATAGTTATGAAAAAACTTATAAAAAGGACATGGATGAACTAAACATTGGACAAGTCAGCTTTTTTCTTTTCTTTTCAGGAGAGTAACTATAGCTAAGGAGACTTACATTGTCTATGTCAATCTCTTTAATTATGTCATCCAATTTAACATCACCAAGGCCAAATTCTACGCAAGCTTGTTGAAGCTCATCAGTTGTAATATAACCACTTCCATCTTTGTCAAAGTAGGAGAATGCAGCAAGCAGATTCTCCTCTCTCTCCGTCTTATTCAAATGCAACGTTGCAGCAATGAATTCACCATAGTCAATCGTGCCACTGTTGTCAAAGTCAGCCTGCAAAAAACATATCTCACCGCGTCATTTTGCTACTTATTTTAGAGGGACTAAAATCTTGGACTAATGTTCCCAGTTGCACTCTAGAATTACTGTATCCTGTAAGAAGGGAGGATCAAGAAACAGTACCAAATGGCTAATGTGTGCAGCCAAATTTTCATGCTTTTATCTGATCATGCACAATCTATGTGCCAAATGGTCTTGTAAAATACAACTCAAAAGGCATTTTCACAAATCTATAGAGATTCTAAAACGAAACGAAATTAGTAAGTACCGCTTTCATCAGGGCCTTAATGTCGGACTCCACTAGGTCAGACCCTACTCTTTTCAAGCCATCTTTCAGTTCCTCATATGTGATTGTTCCACTGCTATCTGTGTCGATCATTTTGAACAACTGCTTTAGGCCTCCTATTTCTTCCTCTGAAAGCCTTTCTGCTATGACCTGTTTGTATTAAGTGTTACAATTATCAGAAATCAATCTAGTATGCAAAATCCAAAAGTGTACACAAAAAAGGTCTGCAAAACAGAAAGTAGCCTATTGAAAACCATCACATATGTTGAATATTCAGATTCTGGAGTTAGATTTTTGTTTTGCGACGTCACCAGAAGCAACATATATTGGCTGAACTTCTAATTGAGATACAAGTAGTTAAATTTCACATTTAACTGAAGGTCCTATTAGTACTTGAGAATTGAGAGCTTTGAACAAAATGTCTCTATTACTGTCTACCAAAGACAAGTTTTTTCGAAGAACTTTCAGAATCCAATAAGTCCTTTAAACACCTAAAAGGATTTCCCTAAGACCCTAACCATCCTAAACGGTATCTAAACATGTAGCTTTATCTAAGTTACCTTCTTTCGATATCAGCATTTTCCTTAGATAACATACTTTCACACTGAATCACTTGGATTTCATTTTTGGAGACACCGGAAAAGATTAAGAGGTCTTAAATATGTTTCTTGTACAAAACCATAGCTCTAGAGTTCTATCTCTAAGGATGAGATGTACAAGTAGTCATGACTAATGAGATAGTTGTCTACGACAATCCTTCTCCAAAACTTAGCTCATGTCAAATAATTTCCGGTGGAATTGTAACACAGAAACTTTAGAAGAACTGTTAAAGAAGTACCAAAGTAGTGAATATGCCATTGGATAAACATAATATCTTAAGGACTTCTTCAAACACTATCACCAATATCACTTTCAGACTGTTAGTCTGTTCTATATACTCATGTTTATGTTCCTAGTTAAGAGTTTTATGCATGTCAAGCCATGATACATTATATGAAATCCAAGAAACAACAAGTTGGCAAAAGAGCAAAGATGTATAAAAGCAGTACATACTCGTAAAGCCATCTTTTTAAGTTTGTTCATATCATAGAACTGCTTAAGACGATTCAACACTGCAGATCCCAAAGGTTTGTCTGGAGCAGCTGCATCGTCCACAAGCCACGGATGACCTTGGAAAATAAAAAAGACAAACAAGTTTTCATAATGAAACTATAAACTTTTCTAATACCTTATCAGCAAATTAAATAGGTGGTACTCACATAGGACTTCATGAGCAGTTATTCGTGCTTTAGGATCCCTATCGAGCATCTTTTTAACCAAGTCTTTTGCACTATCAGAAATGTGAGGCCATGGTTCAGATTCAAAGTCTATCTTCCCTTTCAAAATCTGCTTGAATATACCATTGTCCGTCTCTGCATGTCCGGAAAGTGAAAAAAAGAAACAACAAAGTAACAGATAGTTAATCATTGATTCTTTGTCTTCTAATAAGAAAAGAAGATAAATGAAGCTACAACATTGTAAATTTACCAGCCCAAAAAGGAGGAACCCCAGATAACAAGATGTATAAGATGACTCCAGCACTCCATACATCTATTTCAGGTCCATAGAATTTATGCAACACTTCAGGAGCAACATAATATGGACTTCCTACAACATCAGAGACATATTGCCCTGCCACAAAATGTTAAAAAGAGTATATATAAGTTCTCCAATTTCATCGAAGTCAGGTAGCCAACCAACTGAGCTACTAAGATTCCCGTCCTAATACTTCCATCGATTGGAAGAAACCAAATTCATTCACAACACAAAGTCCATTTGGATCTACCAAAAACATGAATAAGACGAAGTACAAAAAGATTGTTTCAAGAACAAATGATCCAAGAAAACAAACCAGGCTTATAAAAAATCGACAACCCGAAATCTGTAGCCTTGAGAGTAGCATCTTCATCAGAACTATCAAATAAGAAATTTTCAGGCTTAAGATCTCTATGCATGACACCAAGAGAATGACAAGCCTCAACAACCTTAACAATTGTTTTCATCAAATGTGCAGCTTGCCTTTCACTATAATGTCCCTTTTGAACAATCCTATCAAAAAGCTCACCCCCTTTACACAATTCCATAACTATATGGACAAAAAGATTGTCTTCATAAGTCCCTTTGATTCTGACAACATTAGGATGTTCAGACAAATGATGCATTATTTGAATTTCTCTCCAAACATCCTCATAATCTTCCCTACATAAAAGTTTCCTTTTTGGAATTGATTTACATGCATATTGTAGCCCTGTTGCCTTTTCAGTACATTGATATGTTGTACCAAATTGTCCTTGGCCTAATTTCTTACCAAGAGTGTAATGTTCCCTTAATCTTGGAGTTTGGTAAGGGAGAACATTGGGAGATGGCTTTGAGGATATAGGAGGTCTCTTTTTTGCTACAACTTGTGCCATGTTTTCTTACAACAATTTTTTTTTGTGTGTGTTTTCTTGATTTTGGAGAAACTAAGGAAAATTTTCAGTTTATGTTTTTTTTTGTTTTCCATATGTAAAAGTTGTTACCAATTTTCTTGATGTATGGTCAGTGTTATCTGGCGGGAAATGTGGTGTTAGTTGTAAAGACAAAGTGGAGTGGGATTTGGAAAATGGAAGGGAGACATGTCCAACATCAATCAATTCTATATTTTTCTTTATTCATTTTTCAGATTTATTATACACACGTTAAAGAATTCTTACATGAGTGGTGTATTTTAATGTGTTGTAACATGTTACTTGTCTTGTTTAGATATTTTTCGGTTACTATACTCACTTATTATGGAGGGTGAATATTACTTTTTAGATAACATAACTATATAATAAGTGTATTTTAACGTGTTGTACGATATTACTTGTCTTGATTAGTTATTTTTTAGTTTCTAAATTTGGGGGTGAATATTACTTTTTAGGTGACATGACTATTAAAAAAAATTATATATTGTTTTTGTGTACAAAAGTCAAACTCTTGTTTCTTCGCCTAGTACTAGTAATTGCATTTCTAGTGTTCCACTAGTTCTCTCTATGATTTGAAACTTTTACATTTTGGTTGGAAATGAAAATGTCAACTGAATTGCATTATCCAATTGATAAAAAGTAGTGTTTTTTTAAAACTTAGAACACCTTTATAATGGAACATGATTGTAAAATCTGTTCATTTTCCTCTGGGAATTTTTGAAAAAAAAAAAGATGTAGCAAAATATTAACCAATAAAACTGTTGCTAATTACTCTTATATCTTGGAAATTTCTCACCTTTCACTTTAAAAGTAAAACAAATACAAACTAAGTTCATGTTATGTTTTAAATGAGATGCAAAATACGTTGCTGCTTTGTTAAGTATTTCTTGCCTAAATTATTCACCATCCTTTAATGTGGTCATACATAAAAGTATCACAAGACAACTATCTGTACAGGGATATTAAGCAGACAATTTTATTTTCATATAGTTAAAACAAGCGTTACAGCGATAAGTACCACAATTACATTAGGGAATAGGGATAGTCTTTCAATCTAAGTTCAAAACACCATTGAAACAGGCATAGATAACAAGTTTATACACATCAAGGAAACTTGTTTTGGAGATGAGGTCTCAAGTATTGTCTTTCAGACGCGTCGAGTGTGCAACTGAACTGTTTGGCTTGGAACAACTTGCAGCACTCCAGGTTGCTCTGCAAAAGTGATATCTTAGTTAGGCTAGTCTGAGAGCTTAAAACTCCCGAATAGAGCGATGCAAAAATCGTATGAACATATTTTCCAGGAAGGTACATGCAAAAACTGATATTGAATACAAAACTCAGATTTAAGCGGAATCCAAAATAGACACAATGACCATATAATAGGGGAGGGATTTGACTTAATGTTGGAACATTACTCAACTTCAAGAATTGTCAGACTTTCATCCAGGGTAAAGAACATATAAAAATGAAGCACTCAGATGCATTTTAGACATCCTGGAAAACAGACTCCAGAACCACAACGCTGACGTTTTGATAGCCATCAAGGATGTATATCTAAGATGAATCGATATGACATAGAGATACTTAGAAGAAGACACTAACAGTAAGCATTTATTTTTTTTGAAACTGAAAAGAAAAAATGTCCAAGCACCAGTAAGTATCGTGATCATTGTAGCAAAGGGCAAGCATTCTAACGGAAGGAAGGCCATAAATTCAGCAATTTTAGTAAGGGTTGCTAAATATCAAGCACCAGCTACATCACTGCACCATGCCAACCTGAAATTTATTTAGACTTAAAGAATGATCTAGAAGGTATTGGACCACTAGGAGTAACGGTTCTATGTCCAGGAATTTATTTTTCCAAATAAAAGGAACTTAAACATTTTTGATAAGTAATCTGTTGTCTCAGGGCATTTCCTTCCCAAAATTATTCCAAAAAAATGTACACCTAACATCATTCCTCTTGTCCTTTTATCATGTAAAGTTGAAAATCGCATCAATAATGAATGATTCTTCTCATCCTTTTCATGTAAAGTTGGAATACTACATTAATATTGCCATTCCTCTTGTGCTTCTTCACATAGTTTTTTTTAAAAAGTGGCAAGTATTATTGTTATCAAATCCAGCACTAAGAAAGTGTTGTGGTTGCATCCAAAAAAAAAAAAAGAACAAAAGAAAAGTAAACCATGCCTATCACTAGTGGACCAGCTTGGTCAAGAATATGCTTCACATAAAACCATTAAACCAGTCCTAAAATAACCCCAGCCCCTTTCTTAAGCCAAAAAGAAAAAAAAATCCAAATCATTCTTACATAGTTCATGACAAACATCCTCACTCTATTTTCTGATGGTTAAACTATTAATGATGAAATGAAAAACATATTTTGAATTTGAGATTTAGCAAGAAGCTAGAAATGTGTGTGTAATTGTTCCACCATCCCTTGAACATGAAATACTATGTTCAACTTTCAACATGAATGCCAAGTACTTCAACAGACGAGTGTTATGGCTGTCATAGTTAAATTCACCATGCTAATTACTCATCTCAGAAGAAGATACAGACCAACCATATACCAAAATAATTTAATCAATGATACTGAAAGAGTAGGAAGTAAATTCTTACTTGAGAGCTCAGAAACCTGCTCAGCAGTCAGCTTTGCTGAGAATCCACTAGCTGCGTGCTTGTAACTGTATATCAATGCCTCTTTTGCAGCCTCCTCACTTTTTTGATTACCACAAGTATACACAAAATATCAGGATCTTTACTCCAAAAATTTGTAGTGTACAATACATTTACCATACAATAATCATGACAATTACATACAATTGATAATTGATAGCAAGCATTTTCTATCCTTCTTTTTCCTCACCAAAGAAAACAGCAAATGATCTTGAAACCATTATTCATTCATTACTACAATATGAGATTTAATGAATATTGGAAAGTTTGCTTTGAAAAGTTTCATACTTTATTCAAATTAAGATCACAAAAGTCAATTAGACTAGTTAGTAGTTTTGATTGTCCAAATTAACTATTCGCAAAAAATAAACTTGGTACGAACCACTACATGTTCCTAAAGTTCGAGTATACATTGCATAAATTTTTGCAGTAATAGAGCTATAATTTAAAACAATAAACTAACAAAATCCTTTAAATCAGATTACTCCTCCTATAACTTTTGAACTGTTTGATCTAATCACTTTGCCCCTCACCATTCCCTTAAGAAATGCCCAAACATGCAATCATTACCTAGCATTCAGAAATAGGTACAGTAACAACATCAAAAAATGCAATAATCGAAGCAAAGACCAACAGGTAATAACAGAAATTGAAGGACAAGAAACCACAAGCTTAGTGCTAATGCAATTGAAATTCACAGAGACAACACTCGACTACCTAACCTCCAAAACCTCCTATCTATGGTGCGTCATGTCCTTGATAAACTGAAGGTACGCCATGTGCAGTCTAATCACCTCACCCAGTATTCTTTGCCCAACCTCTACATCCCTTTAGCCCCATCACTGACAACCTCTCACATTCTTAATAATCAAACACATAGAAAATGAATTCAGAAAAAAAAAAAGTCCAACCCAGAAAAAATGAATTCAGCGTGAATACAAAGACAAAGTCCAACCCCATGTGGAAAAAAAAGATCAAATTTATTATCTTGAAAAAAGACCAAATCTTTGATGAAATTGATTAGAAACAGGGTCAATCCAAACCTACCCACAACCCCATCTTCCTATACTGCAATTCAAAACAGTAAAAACAGATAGAATTGGAAAAATAATTCGAACCTGCCAAGAACAGAAGTTAGGGTTTTGATATGATACTCCTCAGGTTCTTGATCTTCAGGTTGCTCAGTATACACTATATGAACTTTGGATTCATTAGAGGGTTGTGAAGCTTGTGAATCTGCCATTGTTGTTATAAAAGCTGTAAACAACAAGAAAAACAAGAGAATTGAAGAAAGTATTTGATCCTTCTTCATTACTTTAGGCAGTATTTATAAGAACAAAAGGATATTTTTGGGCTTTTTCTCCTTAATGACTAAGTTTCAGAGTCTTCAAAAATTACAATACAACAAATTTTTTGATTCCTTTTCGTGTTTATTGCACTATACTTTTCTGCCTTAGAATTTACGTTACTTACTATTATAGATTTGTCTATGTCCAAGTGTTCACAAGGTCAAGACTCATTAACGGTTTGGTTTAGAATTATGCGTGTATTAATAGTGTATACATTAATTATAAAAATAATTTATATTAGTCTAATTTTACATTTAAAAAATTTGATATTCTATCTTGAATATCACTTATACATGAATTAGTTATACAGATTTTCAAAATACAAACCAAACACTATAGTATTATAATTTTGTATATAAATAAATTTATCCTTTAACCAACTTTTAAACATGATATTTACTTATAATTTAATGTAAATAAGGTATCGTTTTTGTTCATAATTTTTCAAACAAACACCACGAAAGAGTAGCTTTCCATTTTATTTTATTTTTATGTAAATAAAAAAAGGAAAATAGTTTCGGTCTTAATATTTGGTAAAACAACATTTTCTCCAATAACAGTTGAATTGTTATTATTTTAAATATAAAACAACTTCTTCAAACATTTTTTTTTTTTAATTTTGGGTTAGAGATGTTCTGATTTGTCCTTTTTATTTTTTTGGAGAAAGATAAATAATGAGTATTATTTATTTGTCTTACAAGAGTTGTCTGCAAGTATTTGTCTAATCCAATTTGTAGTTATTTATATTGGCTTGAAAATTGGCATGTATAACCGTTTTGTCATTCTTTCAAGTTAAACGAGTGATGCGTTATGGGTAACCATCCATAAACCAAAGGTACATATTTCGTTGCCTGTGATTATGAATAGGCAAACAAATATAGCAACATCATATAACAAAAATCTATCACGATCTGAGACTATCTCAAGTTGTAACACGTTGCTTAGAGTCACGAGTGACTCAAGGCTAACCTCATAATATGGCATGACATTAGAAATATACAAGTAATAACTAAAGATAACTTACACAAACGCCGAAGCTAAAACTCAACTAATCTATTAAACACAAATAGATTAATATCTAATATGTCACGAGCTGAATCTAAATTGATTGTGTGAAAAGTCTCTACTAAAATGAGATGCTAAGATAAACCTCTAACTAACTCTAAATGTCTGAAAATTGAAATAATAAGTTCGTCCTCGAAAGATGAGGACTCACCAAAAAAAAATGTTAAGCTGATCTGGAGTCTTACTAACCGTGATCTGAGTGGTGAACATATACTTTTGAACAATATACGCAGAAAGTATGTGACTAATAATTTAAATAGACGGAGTATATGAGGAAAGCATGATAATGTAGCAATTGACTATGTTGAACTGCAATGACATAAGTTGAGGCAATAACCAAGTAAATAACATAAAATCTAATAAAATATTGTACTGACATAACTAAATACTTGGTCGTGCCATAATCTGAAAAAGGTTGAACTGTGGGAGATATTACTAACCGACATATAATCATGTGAGTTACTACATGGAGTTTGATATATAATCTCCATCAAAAAGGTTCACTGCACTTTGTCAAGGTAGAAAAATTTATCTGAGCTAATGTGAATTTATTAAGCTAACATTGATAAAAGACTAAGGAGTTAACCCCAACTGACGAGAGACCCCTTTTAATTCCTATCGTGGCACATATAGTTCTAGGACTTGGAGATTGCTATTAAAGGTGTCATGTCTCTACTAATAGATGGACCTTCATCCCTAGGTCCATTTGATACTAAGTAAAACTCCCAGCGAAAATCATGTAACTAAAGACAATATTGATTTGATAATACTTACTCCTCTATCTAAAAGTATCTAAGTCATGAAACCCAATAATAAACATGCATCTAAAAATACATAATTTTGAGCCATGAAAATGCATATATAATGAGAGTTCATGAGAATACCATTTAAAACATGAAATCACAAGTTAAAACATGCAAGCACAATTGCACAAACCATTCATGAAGAACAACTGATTTATATTGAGAACCCATGAAATCATTGGTATCACTCAAAACTACCTCCTAGTCGAAACACGGTGCTTAGAGCCACAAGTGATCCAAGCTAACCTCATGGCATGACATGACAAGACAATAAAAATCAACATGCAATGGCAATAGAAAGATAATAAAATGCGGAACTGAACTAAAAATAGTTTTAAAATATCAATAGTTTTATGAAATATCTTAGAAATCAAGAAACATATGTTTTCTTCAGGAACTTATGGTACAGACAAGCCATTGTTTGGCATTAAATTGGGTCAGGAAGAACAAATTATTCTAGCTCCGAAGAAAAGATTCATCTTCAAATTTTCCCTTCCTTCTAATCTAATATTTCGGATTTTAGCTTCCACATTCCTTTTATTGAGCATAATGATGTGATCGAGCTTGTTGTATTTAGTATACAACGTCAAGCAGTTTTGTTTCCCCTACTGATGATGTGTCGAGAAGTCCATTGTTGGAACTAGATTGATCGATTTCGGGTCAAATAGAAAGAACTAAAAGATTCCACCTCTAGAAAAACGCCTACACCTATTGGCTTGAGCCACTATTCTCATTTCCTCACTCACCCATACACATAGATGAATCTAACTAACTGTCTGAAAAGCCTCTACTACTACGAGTTGCTAGGACAAGCCCCTAGCTAACTCAAATTGTCTGGAACTCAAAGTAAATGACCAAAGAGAAAATAGAAATCGTCCTCTAGAGATGAGGACTCACCAACAAGCTACTGTGTTGATCGGGGATATACTAACCGCAGTCTGAATGTTGAACATCCAAACCTATATTATCAAATGATATAGGCAGAAAGTATGTTGTCAGTACTTTGAACGTATTGAGTGTGTAATACAATGCATGATAAACATAGTACCAGGACATGATGAATCTATAAAACATGTTGATGTATTGACCAGGTAAAATAACATGGAACTGAGATGTACTGTACTGAAATGCGTAAATATATGATCATGCAATAAGTGAAAATCTAATTCTAGGAGACACTAAAACCGACATAAACCATGTTAGCTACTACATGGAGTTTAATGTACTGCCCTCACACGAAAAAGAAAGTGTCCAATATTTACCAAGGTAAGAGACCCAATAACTATGTGGATCAAGTAACTAATATGTCACCTTAGGCATAAAAACCTATGATAGCACGTAATTCTGGACTTCGAGATTGCTACTAAGGGTTCACAGACAAACTGAAATTCTTCATCCCTAAATTCGCTCGAGGCTAAGTACACTCCCAAGGAAGACATATATTCAATTGATACAGTAATAATATGATAATACTGAAATATTAATACTTGATAATAGTTGAGTAGCTCATAAAATCATGAATTAAAAACTGATAATTTCTTAGTATAACTGAAAGACACTATATTTGAAAGCATCTAAAATCATGAAACCTAATAATATGAAAACATGCATTTTGAAATCATAAAATTTTGAGTCATGAAAATACTTGTATACTTAGGGTTCGTTAAAATGTCATTCAAAACATGAATTTCATAAATAAAACATGCAATTAAGGGCTATTCACAAATGCATTGAAAACACGATTTAAAAACCCTAGGTTTGGAGAATTCATATACTGAAGAATTGAGATTTTCTTAGGACTCAATGGGTGCGAGGAAACCCATTAATGAAATCTCACATACCTGGAATGAAGAACCATAGCTTGAATTCCTTGAATGAAAGACTTAAAACTTGAAATCCTAGCTTGCTTAAGAATAGACTTGAGAGAGAAGAAACTTAATTTAGGATGTTGAGCGTGTAGGTGAGGGTCTAAGTCCATAAGAATCCCTTAATCCCATTTAGAATAGTACAAAACGACGTAATATAGGAATTAAAAGAGTGGAAAAAAACACCAAAATAACCCTATCATAAAAACTATCGAAGGTCATCTACAGAGGCCTTTCACAATCAGTATAATAATCAACGAACCGTGAAAGTGTTTGTAAAAGACAAAAATTTCTGGATTCTGAGAATCAACCATACGGACTCTTCTACGATCCGTCAAAGTTCCCATAGAAGCATAGTTAAACAAAGTTACTGAGGTTCTGATCTACAAATCAATCTATGTCCCGTAAAGGCTTTTACCATCAGTAGAAGTGTTTGTGAAAGCACATATTTTGGTAGTCCGGTTTTTCTAAACTTTCTCGTTTTGATATGGACTTAGGAACGTTTGGGACGTTACAATCATAAAACCCTAGGTGTTTGTAGAAATCATAAACTAAAGAATTGGGTTTTCTTTAAGACTGAATGAGTGAAAAGATAATCATTAATGAAATTCCACATACTTGGAATGAAGATATTGTCTTGAATTTCTTTTATGGAAACTTGAAACCTTAGAACTCTAGTTTTTGCTTGAGAGAAAACTTGAAAGAGAAGAATTTGATTTTTTAGATCATGTGTGTGAAAGGGAGGGTCTAGGTCACCAAGTATCCCTTAATCCCACTTAGAATAGTTAAAACGATATAATATAGAGATTAAAAGAGTGAGAAAAAACTAAAACAACTCTACTAAAAAAATATGAATTCACAACGATCCGTGATTCCATCTGCGTGTTGTAGTTCCCATCCCGTAGAAATCGGAGAGAAACCTGAATTTCTAAAGGTCAAACCACGAGACCAAACTACAATTTATGGTTCCAATTACGACTTGTATTGATCATTCGTAGAAACAGGCTGATTTTATGAGTTTCAGTGTTTTGATTTACGGACCAGTACGCATAAAGGGCTTTACAACCCACAGACCTGGCTCGTAAATCTTAGACCAATTTCCCAATCATCTAAGGTTCGTAGTTCCACCTATAGCCCGTAGATGGTGCCCGTAAATCTCAAAAAAATTGCAAACTAACATTTGTTGAACTTCTTAAAATCTGATCTGGACTTGAAAATTATCAAGGTATTAAAAAAATTTTAAAGGTCCAACATTCCCTAAACTATGTGAAAATATTAAAAAAAAAAAAAAAGAACTAACAGTTTAATTCAAAACACCTTGTA